CATGTCGTTAAATCATATACATTTCGAAATGATTTTAAATGTATAGAAAATATAAAAGACTGTGTAACGGTTCCTTTCTTTTTAAAACGAACTCTTAAATTACGATGAACGATGATTTTGCTTATTTCATAAAATGATTCCATCCTCTGCTGTCAATTATTCGCGCTCGAGGCATAGTGAAAGCAAACAAGAACCATTATCCTTTGGAATATAAAATGTGGAGAAGACAGCTGCAACCCTAAATCGAAAGAAAGTCAAAGTGACCCGATCATGAACGTAATAACGACTTTCAGTCAGTAGCCGGCTTCTTTCACGCGTGTACCTGAAAATTTTCACTAGTAACACTATACTTCAAACGGAACTATAAACAAATACTTAATTTATTAATATTTAATACAATATTTAATTAATATCCCACTCTCAATAGTATATATTTCAGCCAATTATTCTTGCTAAAGATTAATGACTATGTACAGACAGGAAGTTATAAGAAATTTTTTGAGGCTAGAATACGAAGTTGATTAATATAATACAATACTTTTTATCTCGTAAGATATAGAATATAAAATAAAATAAAAAATCTTTTAATTAAATAATCAAGTTCAAATTGCTATATTTACTTACTAAAAGTTAATAAAATATTATTTATACGCATAAAGCGTATCGTTACATTTCTTTGAAAAACGCAAGAAAATATTTTAATCTACCTAATAATGTAATCAAATAAATACACCTACTGAAAGAAAAGAAAGTTATAATTAGTTTAATTAGTAAAATAGTTTGTAATTATTAGTGAAGGTATGCATGCAAACGCACACTGCTATGATTCAAGTACAATAGGTACAGTGACGTGCATTCAAGTGCGGAATTAATAATGTAGTCTTAATTAAAACTTCTAATGTTCCAGGAATGAATGGGGATTTTCATTTCATACAATTCACTTGAACTTTCACTTGAAAATGTAAAGTACTGGGCACCTGTATCTCACGGTTTACAATTGGTATGAGGATGATAGCAGGATCAACGATACTTGTATTGGAAGCGAGAAACTCGCGGTGCTCCATGTCGTTTTCTTAATGATGCACTGAGATCAGGAAAGCAATAGTCCACGCTTGTAACAATTTTTATTTGCGACTTCGTATTGGAAGAATTTCCTGTAGAGATATTTTTTACTTAGTCTTTAAAGTGAAGAGAATTTATTTTCATTGTCTTTTAGATGAAAATAATATCATCTAATTTTTTAAAAATTCTGAAATTATTATTTTTACTTACATTTCTTTAGAGATAAGTTTTCTGACGAATAATACAAATTTAATTTCATCATTATCTACTTAGAATAAGGAAATGTTTAGAACTAGAACGAATACTGAGAAGTAGGACAGCTACGGAACGCGTACTGGCTTCGATTGATTTCATTTTCTCACCGAAGCAAACGTTTCTTCAAACTTACTTCTTAAACTTTTCTCTGTAAAACAAAGATTCTGTCGTGAATTTTCATAAACAACCGCGTACGTGAGAGGTTTTTGATGAATACACTATTCTCTTTACATACTGCTCTTCTTAGGCTACTGAAAGAATTGTTTATTAGTATATGTATGAATGTCGGAAGCGTCTATCTCGTTACGATATTCTATGTATTTAAAGGTCATGAACTGTTATATCTATGCTGTTCCAACGTCGACACGGAAGTAGGAGATGGCATCAGTGAAAGGTATCAAATCAATAGGAAGCTACGGACAGAATCAGAAGAAAGCCAAAGTAATTTTACCTCTTACCTTGGAAGAGGTAAAATCGTCTCGATGTAACCTCCTGACGATAAATCGCTTATAATGTGTGCCTCGTCTGCTAGCTATTTTTTACGTAGGCCTTCTGATGAGTTTCTCCGCTTCGACGCATCTTTATCCACATTTTAAGTCAAGTAAATGCACTTTCAGGTTGAAGGTTCCAGTACACTTACTTCTCTAAGTGGTTTCTTTAGCGAAAAATTTGTAAAAATTTCATGTTGAATTTTATTGTTATTATTATTATTTTTACTTCTATCATGGAAGAAAACCATAATTTATCTGCACATCTATAAAATAACATATGAGTGTAATTTTTATAAATGAAAAATAAGAAAATAAGTAAAAGACAAGACAATAATAGTGATTTTTAAGAGATCCGGTAAAAGAATCAGAAGATGTAAGAATAATAAAATAGACTGAAGGAAACAACAGATATTTGATTTTATTAAAAAAGTAAGAATGAAAAGTCATAAATATTGATTATTATAGAAGAGAATATTTGGCGAATTTTTCATATCTTTTCATATCTTTGAATCTAATGAAGAAAATGTGGATGGATAAATATATACCTCTTTCCAACGATATTATACCGATGATTCATTAGTAAGTCTGAGAACACTCGTAATTTAGTTGATCGCTTTCCTCAAATCGAATCTAATACTTCCACTGACTTCTCGAATTTGCGAATTAATTATCATACGTATCTCCATTTATTTCTCATAAATAAAAATTTTCTATAAATATGACTCTCTAATGAAATAGTTACTTTTAATCCAATTTAAATCTAATTAATTTATATAAACCTAACTTACATAGTTCCAATTTCGGACATGAGAGGTTAAGAAATTGTAAAAAGATCGGAATGTTCAAAAGTCAAAATTTGGAAGGTTGAGCAAGCCAGAAATATTGGGAAAGGTAAGAATATCTTAAAAATTAAAGAAGCTATAAAGGCATAAAAGACTAATTGTAAGAATAGTATAAGAATAAAGTTAACACCGGTGACAATTTCTCTCCGTAATTGACTTTCCACCCTCGATCGGTATATTGTATCCTTTCTTCCGATATCTGCATCTTTTTTCTCATTTTTAGACATACTCATCCCTGCTTTTCTCATTGAACCAAAATGAAACTATAGTTTCTCCGCGAGTCGATGAACAAGTCGCGTTTCTGTGGCAAGCAAGCAAATTTCACGAATTCCCTGTTGGTCATTAATATTTTATACGGAGCACGACCGATAATTCCGCTCCCATTCCTCGTTCACAGCAACTCTCACATTGCATCTAATATTTGCCGGTAGATTGCGCAATCCGCGCCGCGGTCCGTGCCCAGGGCGATTCAGTTGAGCAACGAATTCTCTTATGGAAGACACGTGGATCCACACTAAATTTCTCCCCATTCTCTATGGGGAAAAAAGAAAATTAATCAAGGATCGCACGCTTGCCAGGAATTCGAACGCGTCTACCTTCGAAAATTGGAAATCGGCATCAATTCGAAATTCAGAGATAAATAAATATTTATGACTTTAAACGATAATCGAGTAGTCAGAATTGACAATGTAAATGAAATTAATATTATGTAGATAGAGATTGTTATTAAGAAATTATATTTTTAGGTGAAAAAGTTGTATGTTAGATCCAGAGAGTATCAGTTTCAAAGGCCTGATTTATCGAGATTAAGAGAATAATGGAAATGACAATATGTAAGATATACTAACCTAACCTAATTAGTTAATTTATCGATACACGTTGGATTGTTAAAAACTTTGTAACGAAATTTGAGAACAGTTCAAAACGAATATATTTTTTGCAAAACAAGGTATGCAGCATTTATAATTGAAAACAACTTAACAATGTATTTATTAATTGTTTATAATCTAACAAGTATTCTCGTAACTATTTCATTGAAAAGTATTTGCAACAATAAATTCCTGTAAGTTTCTAGCGTATTTAATTTTTTGCCAATAATGAAAGCTGTCTAGGGATTAAAATAAATGACAGTCATATGATGCTATGTTTGGTAAACGGAACAAATAAAACAGGATATCTCGGCTAAGGTTCATTACTTTTTTTCGTCTCCTTATTACTACAAGAATTTTAACATTGTTTTGTTTAAAATGATGATCATTTTTATTAACCATTTTGGGATGTTTCATTTTAATCGATGTAATTACTGTTTAACTAAAGGTATTATAATAGAATTTATACATATATTCATATTTACAAAGTTTACCCTGTAGCTATATATTTAACCTGTATGCAGCTAGTACTTTGCAATCAAGTAGCTTTATAGAAGTTGATACTGGAGAAGGATGAGTATCATAACATTCGATGTTTTCAGCGCTTTCCCGAGATTACAAACGAAACAAAGATCAAACGGATATAGTAATGATTGTATAAAACGTTTTAACTGTACTCCTAGTGAAAGCAAACAAATGCATGATCATACAACATTCTTTCCTATTCATGATTGAATACCAGCATTGAGGAAGTTTATCTCCACAAGTGAACCAACAGTAAGTATAAGTTAATTGATCTTCAATGTTTGCATTTGTACATATCACTTCCTTAGTCTGTATTCGTATAATGAATTGATAACTTGGACAAATTCTACTTTTGTTAAAGGTTTACTTCTGAAAAGAAGGCAAAAGTTTGTTTGAAAATTTTACTTTTCTATTTTTGTAAATTTAAAAATGTACAATAATTTTAATTTTTCACAGAAGTTAAACAATCATTATCAATCTTCTTTCATGTTGAGGATGATAATTTGGTAACGAGAAGGTCGCTGGCCGAAAGATTTAGCTTGAAAGTGTACACCTGTAAAAGTAACCAGTAACGTGTTTACGACTAGAATGGTGCACATTATGAAAAAATTCACGTCTCGCATCTTGTTCGTTGATGGCACCCAAATACCCCTTTTACCTTCGATGAACGACGACATGGAGGAAATCCCCTCCAGAGGAGAGTTCAGGATGTAGCATCGCTGGGACCCCCGTATAGCATCACGAACGTACTCATGAGTATACCCCTCCTCGAAATATCTCTATGCTTAGGGCGACTAGCTGCTTAGGCGGAGGAAACATTCGCTATAAAAGGCATCGGAGCTACAGGGAATTCGTCAGAGGAGTGACGAACCGTAACAACATAAAAAAAAGGCGGCAGCCTTTGCCGTTTTTTCCTTCTTTTCGCGCGGTGAACGATACCCCTTTTACTTGAGAAGATGCGGTCTAGCCTGGTCAGTGTCCAATTTTTGTCGCCATCTTGCAGCAATTGTTTCGCGACTCGGAAGATTCGTGTCGTATAAGTGTATCTGTGATAAGAAATTGTGATCGTGGAGGAGTGATGAGAATGTTGGAATATAATAATGGATTAACGAACTTCTATTCCTCGAAGTTTGAGTTAGAATATTAGGTTGGCTTTCAAAGTCATACTGTGTTTTGGTTTAAACGTGCTGTAATGCTAAGTCATTTGATCCCGTGGATATTGTGTTCCTTGGTGTTTCAAAGAGGCAATAATTATTGCATAAAAATCTTGTATTGTAATCGTTATTCATTTTGATGTTGCATTACTATCTAGGCTGAGTAATTTTCAGAAAAACTCGTTCGTATATTTTTTCTACGAGTAAAGCTGCCTACTACGTTGAGGGTCGGTAATTTCGTTTATATACAACCGGTTAACATTCGTTCAAGTCATCGAATTTAGCTCATCGCGGCTATTTTCTAGGAACAATCCTAACTAGGTATTCTCGTCGCTTCTCAGTGTATAGAATGGAAAGTCGAGCGGTATGCTCGTGCCTCGAATGATCATCTCTCGTGAAACTGTATTGAAAATAGCCAAAACTCGTTCACTTCCCACTTTGAGCCCATTTAGAGAAATTTTTGTTTGTGAACCAAAATCTATAAACACTCGTTGTCAGATCTCAATAAGTGTTTAGTGATTTGTCTCTAACGCATGAAATAGCATGAGGACCTCGAAGACCTATGTCACACTTTTTCTTCTCGATTGTTAAGTTAATGCCATCTTCAGCAACTTTCTGTTTGGATTATCAGTATATGGACCTTAGATTCAATCAATTCGACATTGTTGATATTAATACAACTCAACAAAACCTATTTTTATTATTTTTGATTAGATTTTTTAATCTCGCAAATGTAATTCTATACTGATATCGTCGTATATTATTTCAGAATCTTCTAATTTAGAAATATGATATTATATCTTATTTTTTATATTTTTTATGAAAATTCATTTCTTATATTTTCAATGAAAACATAAAATTGTATGCTAATACTGTGATTAAGTTTTTTGAAACATTTTAATTTAAAAATAACATTTTCACTTGTTTATCTTTGGCTTTAAGTTTCTTGACAAAATTTTCAATTTAAAAGTATCACTAACACATTTGAACTTTTGACTTAAAATTTTATGTTAATATTGTAGCTAATTTTTTAATGTATTTTTAATTTGAAAATATTATCGATCGAATAATCATTTGGTTATTACTTCCTCTGACTGATTCGAACCTTGATCTTGACAAACCAGACGTGACTTGCTGTGATCAACGTAACAGGAATCTCACTAGGTAACCGGTTCACCAAAATGGCCGCTGGTTGATATAAAAGCAAATGTTCACGATACAAACGTTTTGGGGTGAGATACGAAATTGGGGGCCTACTTTCTCATTGGTCCCCCTTGGCATTAATGAACAGACATGAATTTTACGATCGGTCTTCTGTTTCCACGTTGGTAAAATAAGAAAGAAAAGAAAGAAAAAAAGGAGGGCTACCATTGACCTCATTCCCGTTCTTGTTTATGCGGACACTTTCATTTTTTAGAGACACTCTCTTAAAGTAGTTGCCAAGATATATTATTCGTATGTTTGTAAAGACATTTCTGGGAAAATTGACTGCTTATATATGTCACCGATCTTTTTTGTAAATAGTCCTTTTTGTTGTTCTCTTTTTTCTTAGTTGTCAAATTTCATCGAATTTTTTATCAGTCTCAGTCTATTAGTTGCTATAACGTGTATACATGCGTATAACATTTCAATGAAATGAACAATTATCATTGAAGAGATTAATACATTGTTACATTTACACTGAAGCATATTATATCATAGGGTATTAAATACTGGAATGAATATTGACCTGATTAAGAATTAATGGAACATTTTCATTAATTTTTAATTCCTTATTTTAATAAGTTTCTAATACAAGATTTGTACGATATAAAGATTACTCTCAGAACATAAGCATTGAATTTTTTAAATTTAATTTTAGTTTCGGAAATGCAATATAAGTGTTACTAGAATACTCGCGTGATCGATGGTAATGATAAAAAGCAGAATAAAACATGAAGGTTGAGCGAAATATAGATAGAAATCAGTTTGTAATTATAAGTATGATGCTTGTGTACGAGGCTATTTCAGTTAAAATACAAAAGATCGTATCAATAGTCGGTTGAATGTCTGGAAGTTGGTACTGTGTTACTAGGTAATTATATACAAAGTTGTTAGAATCACCTAGATGACTAACGTGCCATGATTAGCTTTTTTGCATTTTTGCTTAGACGATTTGTGTTTTCTTCTGGCAGGTGAATAATGGGACAATTTCGTGTGTATTTTTTGAAAATGATGTAGCTTTTTGAATACCATTTTTTCTTTATTATTCATATACTTATTTAGTAGTCTAGTAGTGAATAAAAAAATAATAAATGAAAAAGAAGTAATAATTTACAGATGTTTAGTAATCAAAAAATAAACCTTACAGCTATTCCTGTGCTGCTTCTTTTTCATCTCTACTTTTGGGGACCCGATAAGGACTAAAAAGGAGTAAGTGGTTAACACCAAGCAGTAATCAAGCAGCGAAATAAATATTTCTAATATAAACGAATCCGAACATTTAAATAAAATAAAACGATCATAAATTTCAGAGCTCCGTTGAGTCCACCTCCAAGCCAATATAGTCCACCAGCAACCTCTTATGGAGTTCCAAATGTAGGAGGCTCTTACAATGCACCATCTGATTCCTATGGTGCTCCACAACCATCTTCTTCCTATGGTGCACCATCTTCTTCCTATAACGCCCCTTCCTCTTCTTATGGCGCTCCATCGGGACCATCATCTAGTTATGGTGCCCCCTCAGGTTCATCCTCTTCCCATGGAGCTCACGGCGCACCATTATCCAGTTATGGTGCCCCATCAGGTCCATCGTCTTCCTATGGTGCACCATCATCTAGTTATGGCGCCCCCTCGGGTCCATCCTCTTCCTACGGTGCTCCATCAGACCACGGTTCTTTTGGTGGCGATCAAGGATATAGCAGTGGTGGTTCCTTCGGCGATGATCATGGCGGATCCTATGGTGGAGGTGGAGGTGGAGGTGGAGGTGGAGGTGGAGGAGATCATGGCTCCTTTGGCGGTGGACATGGATCCTTTGGAGGTGGACATGGATCCGTTGGAGGGGGACATGGATCTTTCGGAGGTGGGCATGGATCATTTGGGGGCGACCAAGGACTTGGAGGAGATCATCATGGTGGCGGTGGTGGTGGATTATCTACATCCTATGGTGCTCCAGCTCAGTCTTATGGTCCTCCAGCCCAATCCTACGGACCACCGGCTCAACCACAAGGAAGATGGGAAAAAAAATTAACATGGAAAGCGGAATGGAAACAGATTTGGAAAACAGAGCAAAAACTAATCTGGAAACAAGAATGGAAGAAAATTCAGGTACCTGTATGGAAGGAAATCCAAGTACCAGCCTGGAAGGAAATAAAAGTACCAGCTTGGAAAAAGGTTCAGAAGCCTATCTGGAAAGAGATCCAGGTCCCAGTGTGGAAAGAAGTTCAAGTACCTGCATGGAAAAAGGTTTGGAAGCCCGTGTGGAAGGAAATACAGGTCCCTATATGGAAAGAGGTACAGGTACCAGACTGGAAAAAAATCTGGGTTCCCGAATGGGTGAAGATTGGTATCCCTGGTGAACAGTATGTTGGTAAAGACCATCATGGTTGGCAGTATACCAGTCACGACCTTTGGAAGAAGAAACTAATTTGGAAACCGGTGTGGAAAAAAATCTGGAGAACAGAAAAAAAGCAAGCTTGGGTCAACGAAAAGAAGCTAGAATGGAAGGCTGAGTGGAAACAGATCTGGAAAACAGAGAAAAAACAAGTCTGGGTTAGCGACAAGAAATTAGTTTGGAAGGAGGAATCGGTTCAGGTTTGGATACCAGAGAAGAAACAAATTTGGGTCACGCAAAAGAAACAGGTATGGAAAGATGAATGGAAAAGCAAATGGGTGCCAGTTTGGAAGGATGTGCAGGTACCAGCGTGGAAGAAGGTATGGAAGCCTGTTTGGGAGAAAGTTTGGGTACAGGTCGAGCCCCACCACGATGAACATCATGGATACAAGTAAAATTCTCACCGTGAGATTCTCCTTCAATCTTTCTTCATCTTGACGATGTGTATCGTTGTTAAATTTTCTGTTAGTATAGTCGTAGTTAAAGATCAAAGGTCCGTAAGTTGCGAAAGTTGCCATCGAGATCTCTATCGGTGCGTCTTTTTTTCTTCTTTGCTGGGAGAAAAACTAGGACTCTGCTCTTGCGATTACAAAACAGAATCCAAAGTTTTTCAAATTCGTTAGAAGAATTCTTAAAAATTACATGAAGACACTTACACGAAAGTATCATGGAGGAGAAAAGACTTTATACTTAATAGTGAAAAAATGTTGCTTTAACGACTAAAGCCTTTATTTTTGGAAAATTTTCAGAAACTGAAAGAAAAGTATTCTTTTCCTTTTTTAAGAAAATTTCAAGAAATACCTATCGGCGGATTATCATCGAATGACTTTTAGTCGAAATTTTTTAATTAACCTTTTTTTCATAAAAATTTTTTCCGTTCAAATTTTAAAAGTCAGTAATCGTGTTCTAGTAGTAATCTCTATTTTCCGCTGTAAAAGTACCAGTGGACAAAATAAGAAGTTTTAAATAATTCTACAATATAAATATTTTAGGATAAGAATCATCATTTGTACTGTTTGTCTCTACGGTGGACAAGCCATACATGAACGTAATTATTCTTTTCCTTGTAAATAACAATTGTCCACGGAGGTATACATATATATATATAGAGAGAGAGAGAAAGAGAGAGAGAGAGAGAGAGAGAGAGAGAGAGAGAGAGAGATATTTTTGTACAATGTTTATGTATGTTATCGTAATAAAGTATACCTTTTTTTAAGTTACGAGTTGTTTTAATTTTATGCAAATTTCAATTGCAAAAATTCAACTCGTAAGAGGAACAGTATTTCGAAACATTATAAACATTGATGTAACCACAATACGCAAGAAAGATATATTTTATTTGCTACTTTAATAGTTTTTTTTGTTTTTAAACAAACGTTTCTACACTAGAAATGGTTTGCTTATGCAATTACCTATTCGACAGCTTTTCGAACTTGGTAGAGCTACGTGACCCCTCAAAACGGGATATAGGACGAAACAAATTCCTCTGTACAGTAGAAGTCACAGAAAATCTCTGTTGGAAGAAAAATAATTCAATCGAAGCAATTGTAAATTAAATCATAATTATTACACGATATAAAGAAATATTTATCGTTTATTAATTACAAATTTTAATTCTCATATACAGCTTACACCAATACAATTTTATCATTTTATTTATCATCGTTACATAACAACAAAACAAATTTTTTTTTAAGTTCAGAACGGATGATAATAGACGCAATCTGTGCTAAGTTTATCTAATCTTCATTAGATAATCATTATTCAATAATCATTTAACTTGTTTTCCACTTGACTTCAATTTTAATTAATTATTTTTTTATCGTTGGAATTGCTTCAAATTTTAATTTCGCCAGATTACACGTAAGTACTCTACATACAGGGTGAGTATAAAATTTCAGAACATTTTTTGAACTCTATAGGAAATTGTATTCGATGAAAATTAAATTATATTTTGGAATACAAAACATTAGCAATTCATAGTTTTCTTGTCTACATTTTTTCACTGATCTAAATATTTGTTTTCGTCATTTGAACGATGCCATTGCATTTTTTAATATTTTTTGTTTTGAGACATTAAGACTGAAAAAAGAAATGAAAATAATACCTGAAAATCAACAGAAGTTTCGTAACGTTGCTGTAGCATTGACCATTGGAATGGTTACAAGTTGAAACATAGTTCTGCAGTATCAATTTCATCTAATGGAATTTGACGATATAGGACATCTACTTTTTTCTAGTGGGATATCAACCGACAATTCTTCTCAGTGAGTTTTTATATTTTTCTTTTATAACATGTATGTAGTTGTTAGACTCGTCATTCGTCCTAATAAAAAATATATAAAGAATCATAGATTCATTTAAAAAACAAAAAATAAGATTCAGAACTATAGAAACGGTAGATAGTGGCTTTGATTTACAGAACATATACGCATTTAAATATAGTTTAATTTTCCTCAAATACTATGCACAATAACGTTATCCTACTATTCGACTTTATATTTATTTAATTAATAGCCTTTAATCATCCTCTCACTAATCTTTCTATAATCTTAATATCGTATAATTTGATTATTCAAAGAAATTCCTCTTACTCCTTTAGTTTAAAAGATACATTTTAGATAGTTGTTCTAGTAGTTCACGCAAAATATTTCTCTTGGTTCCCAAGCGAGTACGACATCGATCGCATAAATACGAGGATTTGTGTATACAGTGGTAGACATTAATTCTCGCTAGATGAAAGCGCTTAGTTTCTACCGAACAAGAGGAAGAAGCGGCAGTGAAAGGGACGAAAGATGCTTTCTAGGGATAAGATGAGATTCAAGGGAACCGGTACATCTCAGGGTCCTCAGGGTCGCGATTCACGCTCACGACCTTTACTTTCTCCGTTCCTGTCGCGTGACAACTCATGTGGGATGAGAAGCGTGAAAAGCACGAGGAAGTCAGGCAGGAAGATAAGAAGATACCGGAAGTGGCACGACTGGTCAATTATTCCTGAAACTATGAGACGATGCAGAAAAATGTAACATGCGAAAGCAACTTTCGAAGCTAAAATACGAGTTTGAGCGATCATATTGTCATCGATAAAATTAATTTATACTATACCTCCTATCCTAATATTTGACCGGATTAACAAGTCAACAAGTTAAATGTAAGCAAGAAGTATTAATCATGCAACATAAAAACCTGCATAATCGTTGCCTGCAACAACGTTCGGATAGAATCTTTCCGGTTGTGCTTTGTGCATGGCCATATAATCTCAATTCGTTTTTAAAAGAGTACAAAAAAGGATTATTTGAGGAAGTTCCGCGACGTTTAAAAAACATTAACGCTTAATCGAACAATCGTGAGAGATCACATAATGAGAAGAAAGTTTCAACAAGACATTTAAGGACTAATTGTAAGAATTGCTCGTTATAAAAATGTTTGTCTTCGATGGATTGATCAATTGATTTAATGAGATTTTGTATACCATGTAACGTAGGACGATCAAAAAGATCTTTTCTCTTTTTAAAGAAAATAAGAAATGTATAAAACATTAAATTATCATAAACAACATTTAATAAGATTTTCGTTTGAAAATATATTTGTAGTTCTATCTATATACTTTATTGATACATTTGGATATAATTATCATAAAACAAGGTTATAATTATTACAATCATTCCACCTGCCAAATGGTTTAATTTTTACATTTGTGCGAGTGAAGCATTTCTTAAGAAAACAGTCTACTTAACCTCAATGACAAGGAAAAAAATCTTGTCTGTTTCATTCCACTAACATGTGATAAAGATAATTACTTAATTGGTTATAGATAAATAAATAAAAAAATAAAATAAAAAGCATACCTTTTAGATTTAATAGGATACTTAGTTATCTCGTTAATTGTATATATTTCTAATCTCGTTTGTGCACAATTGCATTTCGATAATAACCACTTTGATTATTAAAAGTCATTTCCAATAATCCTTTAAAAATATTTACTTTTAACATAAAGTATATATATTGCATACATGAAGTATAATGAAATTTTTCATAATTTCGTGCACGAACGCCATCTACCAAGAATCAGTGGTACTACAAAGGCTATGTTTACACACGTAGATACAATACTAGTATTTCATAATCATCGCATGCATATCATACGAGTTATGATTATAAAATGATAATATCTTATTGTTAGTTTATGTATTCGTTTGATTTCTTTTACATATCAATAAACCTACTTATTGTTTTGGGGTTGTGCTTGGAATTTTGGTAGAATGCAAATAGTAGTATTTACCTATGATTATTTTTAATTTCTGGAACCTAAAAATTCAACTAAACTATTCGCTATGAAAATATTCCATTTATATAGACAATTATGATAAGAATATATAAGCTGATTCTGAAAGCGGTTTCTAGAAATCTACTCATACATTAGTTATTCATAATTTGCTTTGTATTGATAAAAAAAAAAAATAGTAATATATTACTATTTTAAAATACGGGTTGTTTTATTTACATACTGTCAAATGTATTATTTTTCAAACAGATCCTGTATCTCAATATGGCAGTACTTGAAAAGATAGCGGCAAGCAGGAAGTCGGTCACGAAAATGAGTGCAGGCTTCTGTCTTCCTCGTTACGCTTCGACCTTAATAAGGAGCATCGCTCCTATACTTTCTTCATTGCGATCTCACGGTAACTTTAATTCATGATACTTTTCGTGCACGTTTGCAAGAGATAAGAGAAGCCGCTTTCGAACATCCTCCTACCGGTAGAAGCATCTCGACACGAAGCACATGCGAGGTGAACACAATTAACATATAATGACGTACGTGGTGAGCTCAAAGAAAAACCCCGATCAACGTACCGTTGACTTCTACAGACAGTGAAAGTTCCGGATCTGGTGGTGGGCACCTATATATAGCTTGGCAGCATGTACGAACAACCTCAGAATACCAGCGATTTGGAAGGAGTTTAGATCAAAAGTAGAGAAGTTTCTGAGAATCGGAATCTTAAAAATGATAGAGGAAAGATTTGATTAAATTTGAATTTAGAGAAAATTTGGATTTTGGAGATTTAAATGGATTTTTAAGAGACTTAGAAAAGATTGAATTTGGGATAAGTTTGAAAAGAAATGGACATTAGAATAATTTTAACAAAAAATTTCAAAATAAATAGTTCTTGACCAGGTTCAGAATGATATGGATCAGAAAGTATGATGTGAATTTATTTCAGCATGTTTTGAAAAATTAATAAATAAAATGTGATATTTAGTAGTAGGTATAAAGAATATAGCCTTAACCTATTTTTCTTTCTTTGAACAAGTGTATAATATATAAATTATTGTAATTGAAACCTCTATGCATATGTAGAAATAACAGAAAAATAATTATAAATTTGCAAAATTA